AGCAGGTTGTGTGTGAATTAGAGCAGTTCTGATTGTGTCAGGTGTCCTAACACCCCCCCCCCCCCCCCTCCCCTCACTTCATGGTTCTGAGCTGAACTCTTCTCCGCTCCTGCTCCAGTCTCGTGGCACCGGTTGAAGCACCTGAAGGCTTCAACTCTCTGTTGTCCAACTAAGGACAATCCATCCATCCATCCATTTTTTATTAAAGTAAATTGAACTGTTTTTTTTACATTTTGATCGCTGTTGTTATTTTGACAAATTAGTTGTTTTGAAACGTGACGTAAAATGTGAATAGCATGTCAAACATTTCTATCTTTGTATTTTCTATTTATTTTTTACAGTAAGTTTTTTTTTTATTCATTATGTCTGAAATGTAGCAGGAGTTCAGACACCTGCTGATGATGCGCGTGCACTAGAGCTGTCTGGAGACACTGTGCGTAACGTGCACTGTCCACAGGGCATTTATTTATTCTGTTGAATAAATGATCGTTTCTGTTTCGGGGGTCTGGGAGGAGGAGAGAAGCACTCTGTGCAGAATCTCTGTGCGTAAATGTGAACACCTGTCCCTCCGTCCTCACCCCCACGCCAAGAGGCTCCTGCTCCTTGAAGGAGCGTGTAACTGCGCCGCGCGTGCTGCAGCTGGAACATCCGCAGACTGGGTCCGCCGGGCTAATGACAACGTTTCCTCTCGTTGTATTTTTTAACAAATAATCACAATAAAAATGTGCGGTGACTTTGAACTTTTAGGGGCGGAGCTGCCGGATCCGATCAAAGAGTTGCCGGAACAGAACGAGTCAAAATGAGAGAGTTCCCGGATCTTGTTCCAGCAGGATCCGGCTCAAATTAACCACTGATTATACTGTATTATTGTTGTTTAGCGTATATCTTAGATCCTTGTATACTGTTACTATTTTTAATACTTTATATTAATGCTATTTTGGGTGTAATATATACTGGTATATATTTGGATCTTGACGTGTCAACCCTATTTTCGATGGTGACCTCTACTACATCTGGATGAAGCCACACACCAAAATGGAAGTCAGCACATTGCTTATGTTTTAAAATAATCCAGCTCACAAGATTACATATATGCATTTATGGTGGTAGCCATCTTGGATTTTGACGTTGCAGCCCATATTTCGATAGCGACTCTTCTTATGCATAGATGGAGCCACACAACAAAATGGAAGTTAGTATCTCACTTATGTTTCAAATTATTCTCACAACAAGCACGAATGGACAGATGGAGGGTGTTTCCACTTCCCTCTCTTTGCTCTGTGACGGGGGACAAAACATTAAGGCAGTGTGTTCTTTATGCTGGTTGTGTGTGATGAATTGCTTTGTTGGATAAAACAGATGAGGCACAATTCTCCAAAATAAAACACTTTTTGAAACCTTAGTCAGGGTCCTCTTGGTTTCCTCGTGGTCCTTCAGGACAGAACTTATCTCCAGCAGAGGTTTAGCGCTCTCAGTAACGCTGCTGATTGTAGTTTTCAGGACTTGATATTCTTTCATGAGCTCAACAAGAACACTGCACTGTTCCTGTCTAACACATAAAACAACACTTACACATGTTTGAACTGCACATCATCATTATAACAAAACTAAAGGTCTGGTATTCCTTGAAGGATTGTATATCCCCTGATGGCTTTTCATGCAACACTTGTAAACTAAGATAGTCTTTGATAAATGTTTTGGTCATACTTTATAAATGTCTGAAATAATGCAATAGCACAATCTGAACAAGATTTTATGAGATCTGATCGCTCTAAGAGAATGTGTTGTGAACGGCTTTTAGCTACTATCATGTCAAATTTCAGTTCAGTCTTTTTATAATTGGCTGAATTATGATAATTTTAGTGGTTAGTTAGCTGTGGCAGCTAAGGATTACTCTCTGACCTAACAAGATTGAGTCAGGTCTTCTGGACGAGTTCTTCTTTGTTGAAACATTTATCCAAAAGACGTCTCAAGTCTGAGGACCTGACCCAACCTTGCTAGATTGATCTACCTGGATTATTGAGCATGCGTCAGGAGATTACTGTCTGAGGTTCATCAAAATCTGTCCATTGGTTCATGAAATAGAACAAATGAACACACACACAGACTAAAACATTATTTCCCCCCACCCCACTGAAAGTTGAAAACTTGAATTAAATGTTGTCAAAATGGTGTTGGTTTGCTCCAGTACTTCTCTGTAATGAGCCTCTTGGTGTCCTCCCATGTTGTCTCCAACAAGCCAATCTCTCTCAACACTTCTCCAGCCAACTCTGCATCTTTGTGAGCCAGCTGGTTGCCCTTCTCCCTCAGCCACTGCTCTTCGTGCTGGTGGGACTGCAGCTCGTCCTCCAACTGATTAAAGAACCGGAGTCTGACAGAGGGGGAAAATGTTAGTGACTCACACATAAACATAATAATAATAATATAAATGCATTTATTGTTTTATTAATCTAGCTCAGCAACACGTGGCCCTTTGTAGCATAGACAAAGATTGTATGAAAAGTAACATTTATTTTAAAAATTACAATAAGAACAGCTGCAGCAGTCGTTCAGTATTCTGCAATATGTGATTGAAATTTATGGGCCAGATTATTAACACCTTGTCCAAACAGAAAAAAAAAAAAAAATTCATAAACAATATTTTGCTGTCTTTAAAAATGTTCTTGTGAACACAGAACCATTGTCTCTACATGGAACGGCAGAAACTGACCCAAACTGCTGCAGTAACTTCACCAGGCCTGCATGTGGCGCTCTAACGCTGCCAAGACAATTCACCAAAACAGGAAACAAGACGTGTAACGTACGCTCAAAACTTTGTACACGTTTTATAACAAGTACAACCAATTTTAAAAAAAGACAACACTGCCAAAACAAAAGCAGGAATGGAATCCTTTAAGCTGACCAACAACAAAGTGGAACTTCTACTTAGTGCCACATTAAACTCTACGACCACAAACGTGCAGGACAGTGTTGAACAGTCGTGTCAGTCCGAATATGTAGAAACATGACTGCTTTTCAGGTGCAGTATCCAACAAGGGACGGCTGGAGAAAAGGGTTTCCTTCATCATATTCAAAGCAAAACGGGAATTTTTTATACGTGTTGGAATTCATAAATTATTCTCTTCTCCCACATTTTTAAAAAGTTTAATGTTAATTGTAGTTGTTCTCTGAAAAGCTTGCATTTTTGTATTGTTGACAGTTCAATAAAATGATAAAAAGAACTTTCTGGCCTTGGGTGTGGTTCACAACTTTACACATTTTCACAAGTGTTCAAAACATATATTTAAAAAAAATATATATATTTTGAAATAAAACGCGGTACATCGATGTCCCTCGAAGATATTCAAGTGGGTAGGAGTTACTGTGTAGAAGAACAGAGGTAGGTTTTTCTTTTGTTGCTTGTCTGAGGAAGCGCAGTGTGACAGATCCTGGCGAGTGGAGGGATTAATTTCATCTGCAGAGCCATGGGGGGGTCCAATGGTGACCTAGGTTACTAATCTTTGCCTACCCCAAGGGCCACCCCAATTATTTAAGGAAATTATACTTTTAGGAAATTTAAAAACTTGACAGCAGAGTTTTCTTAAATAATACAGATGGCAATATATTAATGGTCGTGGCCATCTTGGATTTTGACGTGCAACCCAATTTTCCATGGTGACCTTTTTTACACCAAGATGCAGCAACACACAAAAAGGGAAGTCAGTACGTTGCGTACTTTTCAAGTTATTCAACTCACAAGGTTAGCATGTGTACATTTATGGTGGTAGCCAGCTTGGATTTTGATGTGGCAACCCGATTTTCAAAAGAAACTTTTTCCTATGCCTAGCTGTAGCCACACACCAAAATGGACGTTGTTGCCTCACTAATGTTTTAAATTTATAATACAGCATGCACGGCTAGTCGGATGGACGGACCAACAAAGGGCATTTCCAAATCCCCCCCTTCGCTTCACAACAGGCGACAAAAATCCAACAAAGTGACCTAATTTTCATGATTAGTAATTTGCTGAGGTGCATGTTAATGAATTAATTTTATTAAGTTGGGTACTTTATAATTTCCACAGATGTAGTTCAGACTAACAATGGTCTCCATAACTCAGTGAGTAAATTTGATCAAAGAGGGGATACAAACTCGTTTACCGCCTTCATAACGGTTCGGTTTCTTCCTTTGTCCTAAAATGTAAAAATACTGACAAATGTTTAGAGTTTATTTTAGTTCTTTATTTCAGAATGTAAAAAAAAAAAAAACTTATTTTTAATATGTAGTACTTATATAATATTATTAAGTTTTAAAAATGTATAATAATATTTATTTAATTTCTAACTTTATTTTAATCTTCAATTTGTTTTTTGGCTCTGGATAAATTATATTTCGTAATGAAAAAAGGCAGAAATGGCTCCTTTGAGGGCAGAAGCTGCAGACCATTGATCAAAGTGAGTCTGATTTAAATCATGCTGTGCGTTACCGTTGCTGTAGACCATGCAGGCTGGGCTCTTTCAGGGTCTGGTGGTCAGCTTTTTCCTCGATGTCCTCCACTGCTTTGAGCAGCTGTTCCTTTCGTTGCCTAAATGAAGTCCAGAGAACACCTAGGGCTTCGGCTTCACTTTGCTTGGAACCCAGCACGTTCCTCACTGCGTCCAGCTCAGCGCTGAGGGAATCAGCGAGCAGGCGACACGATGTATGAGAACCATCTTCAGTACCAATGTGGAGATGACCTTTGCAAAGGCTGCTGTCCAGATTCACAGCGACGGTCTCCAGCTGACTTATGTCTGGAACAATGGTGGCGAGTTCTTGCTGCAGCTCTTCCACCCTTCCTCGATCCCAGCTCCCAGCACTTTCCACGGTCTGTTTCAGACCCCGCAACACTCCTGCTGCCACACCATGGGTCTGCAAAAAGGCCTCCAGCCTTTCAAGGCACTCTGACTGAAGCTCGGCTAAGTGCTGGGCCTCCACATACGGCTGCAGGCAGCTTTCCACTCGGCTGTGGACCAGCTGTGCATCAGCAGACTCACAGATCTCACAGAGCTTCTTGGTCTGCTGTTCCAGGCTCTGCTTCATGCTGGACTGCAGCTGCAGAGCCACCTGGGTCTCCTGTCAGAGCCAAACGACAAAAGATCAGTTCTCAATTAAAGCTCCATCTGCCTGACGAGGTTTGAGAAGGGATGCACTGACCCCAGTATAACTAATGGTCCAATCCCCCATGTACTCCATAAAAGCATTACCAGTACCATCAATACTTTATGACTAATATAACTTTCACATTTTAGTTGAGCAGGTAAAGGAAAAGCAGTTTCAGCCATGTTGGCTATCCTGATTTGCGGATCAGGACAAACCTCGATGACACGGAGTGCCTCTCCTGCTGACACTCCTCATCAGCTGGTAGCACTAACGCACCCTGACATCATACTTAACTTTTGACAGTAGCTCATACAGTTTCACTTAAAACAGTCTGTCATGTTTTATCATCAATATGCTAAATCTGAAAATATATATTCATGACTTGTAAATGGCTGATTGTTGCTATACACAGTTATTTAGCTGGTTATGTGCATTTTAGAACTCAGAACGGATTTTAACATTTCCAAGCAAATTAAAAAGAAAAATTACTGTAACTTACTGAATTAGTCAATTTTAAATCAGTACAAAATGATAATTTAATGTTGTAGAATTTATATTTCACTTGTTTTTTAATTTATTTATTTTGCTCAGAAACAAAATACTAACACTTTGGGATAAATCACTGAAAACAGAGAAACAAACTGAAGAACTGATCTCATCGTGGGGGGTATCGATCAAATGCAGTACCAATGTCGGCATTGATAATATCAACTTTTGCATCGATCTGCGCACAAAATATTTCAAAGTGAGTGATGGAGACAAAAATAAAGCGGACGGTAATTTCTGCTCAGCAAAGTTGATAAGAGGACGGAAAATATTGAGAAATATCAAGGAAATGCAGATCTGAGACCAGCTTCCTGATTCTGACCAACCTCGTGCACCAAAAGCAGTTGAAGGAATTAATTACTACAGAAAGTAAGCTCCTTTCATTTCCAAATGCATTTTTAAAGTAACTACAGGAAACTGCATGGAATACTTGTATCAGTACTACGTAGCAGCTAGTACTTGTACTGAGTTTGAATAAAATGAGGTAATGGTGCATTCCCGGTTTTAAGGCAAGAAGAAACCAGTGTTCCTGTGCACAAAAGTAAAATGTGAGCGTGACTCACCTTTACGTGTGCAGCAGAGTGCTGCAGGTTCTTTATGTTGACCTGAGAAGATGAATGCAGATTTGAGAGCGTGGACTCGCTCCACTCTGAGAACTTCAGAAGAGCCTCGTCAAACTGCTCTACCAACAAAACTCTGCTCTGAAGCTCTGCGATTCTGGGGGAAGAGAGGGAAAAATTAACTGAATAATGATCATTCACAATAACTTATTGTTGCTTTAATGTGAGCACTTTACTCAAACACATATGATTAATTTGTCTGTAGTTAAGGTAGAAAATAAAAGGATGTATGCGGTCCTTTTGCCAACCTTTGGAGTCAATTCCAATAAAGATGGCCGTCACATCTAAGCAACTTTAGCGAACACAAAAATGACTTTAAAAAAAAAGGGTTGTAAGCTCAATAATCCAGGTAGATAACAATAAAAATGGTTAAATCATGTCCAGTTTCTTTAAGTGAGAAATGTTTCGTCCCCCATCCAGAGGACTTCCTCAGTCTACAGCCTGCCAAACCAGATCTGTCCCATAGGTAGCTACCTATTTATTTTAGCTACCGTATTTTCCAATGTATAAGTCACAGTTTTTTTGCATAGATTTGTCAGTCCTGCGACGTATACGCCAAAGCGACTTATATGCGTTTTTTCCTCCCATATTCATAACGCAATTTTTGACTGACGCTTTAAATTTCTAAGAACTGCAAGAGCGAGTCCTGCCGTGCGTGCTCGCTTCACTCAGCTAATGTAGGCGGAAGAAGGCTGGAGAGCTAGTGGCTTTGGCCGCGATGGATGGATGGATGGATGGATGGATGGATGGATGGATGGATGGA